TGACACCTCTCCACATCTGGCCCCAGCCTCAGGGTGACACCTCTCCACATCTGACCCCAGCCTCAGGGTGACACCTCTCCACATCTGATCCCAGCCTCAGGATGACACCTCTCCACATCTGGCCCCAGCCTCAGAATGACACCCCTCCCACAAGTGCCCTGATTTCATGTGATAAAGTCCTGCTAAGAGGCAAGTTCACATTCTGGGGAGTCTGCAGGCACCTACTGCTCAAATTAATCATTTCTCCTTCTCCTTTCTCTACCACACCTCCTCCTCATGGCCGCGCCTCTTTCTCACGGTCAAGGTGGAACTTGTTCAGATCGTCATCGACGGCGTCAACTACCTGGTGGATTGTGAGAAGAAGCTGGAGAGAGGCCAAGACATTAAAGTGCCCCCTCCTCTGCCCCAGTTTAGCAGGAAGTGAATTTTCCCTCCCAGTTTATGAATAATCTGTCTGCTGGTATGACAGACAGGAAGAAGTCTCTGCTCTGAGAGTTTTTGTAGACTTGAAAACATGTAAAATTGTAGGTACTGCTATTTTACAATAAAACTCTCCCTAATATCATTGGGTTGCGTCTCCAGTTTTTAATAACACTAAGAAGGTCAATGGGCCAGACTACAAGCAGCAAGAAAGGATGGTATTTTTAAATACTAGGACAGATGTTTTAAGGCCACATAGATATATCTAGATACCTGTCCAGCTCTCCAGACGTTAACACAGGCAGCCCTGCACAAATGCCTACAGACTCCACTGGAAACAAGGATCGGATACAGCAATTAATTTTTCAGAAATTGGGGCAAGAGGAAACATTTTCCTTTAAACATGGAGGAATTTAATAAATGGCTATTTAAGGAGGGCAAGCAGACTAGGCATCAATTCCGAATTATAGCAATAGTCAGCTCTGTCCATCCTATCTGGTTTGAACTCAAGCAAGCAGAGGCATGGGAAAGCTTTGTGGGTAAGAAAGGTGTGTTCTGGTTGCAGCTGCAGACAGGGAGGCAGGCTAACAAGGAGTGCATCTAGAGCATAGGTCTGGGAAGAGTACTTAGCTTTGCCTGTTAGTACTGAGTTTGAGCAAGGAACCTGTCAATCACAGACCACATTCTGGTCATTCTGAACTGATTGCTCCAGAGGCACAGATTGGATTCCCAGACCTGACTGGTTGCTTTAGGAATAGTGGGTAAGAATACTACTGTCAGGTGTGGCCTGGCCATTGTCTTTTTACACAATAAATCTTCTAAGCAATTTGAAATTTTGTAACATGAAGGCCAGCTTGTTGGGGTTTCTGTCCCACCCAGTACCCCACAGCTGACAAGCCCCAAAGAAATTCATACAGAGACTTCCATTAAGTTATAATGATTGGCCCATTAGCTCAGTCTTTTTATTAGCTCTTGTAGCTCATATTAATCCTTTATTCTTATCTATGTTAGCCACATGGCTCGGTACCTTTCTCAGCTGGGCAGGTTACATCTTGTTTCTCAGTGATCTGGGTAGCAATGGGAGGAATGGGTTTCCTCCTTCCTAGCATCCTCCTGTTCTCATCACCCTGTCTCTACTTCTTGTCTGTTGACCCACCTATACTTCCTGCCTGGTCAATCAGCATTTATTCAAAATAAACATATTGACAGGATACAGATAATTCTCCCGCACCAAAATTTGATATCTGAAATTTTGAAGATGTTTTTAGTATTTTAGGATGATTTGAAAATCAAAGAACATGTAGTCAAGTTAGTCCATAATGCTTTTGTTACCAAGTTGACTATAATTGACAACCAGTCAAACCCTAGAGTCCCCCATCTTCTGCATTCTTATCTTCAGTACTGTTATTCTTTTCCTTCCTTGCTGCAATGCCTGCAACCTGAAGGAAGATGAAGGAGGAGGTGAGAACTGTCAATCACGTAACAAGTCATGAGATGCCGCTCCACACAAAGAGACAAATAACTTGAACCATGGGAGCAGGATCAAGTGGCATTTTATTCTAAGTGGACATTGGAGTCAATTAAAGGCTGGTGCTATAATATAATCTCCTGTCTTCCCTTATGTTCCCTGAGGAAAAGGCAAAAGGAGAATGGTGCTGGGACAGGCAGACACTCCTCTGACTTTGGAGTGATGAATTACAATGTGGTAGAAATCCCAAAGGGCAAACCACACTGACAAAATTTGAGACATCATGCTGAGTACTCTGAATAAGATATGGCGGGTTTAAACTAACAGTTGAAGTAAAAAGAGGGATCCCAGGCAGTGGCTATTATTCTCTGGTGCACAGAAATGAGTAGAGAATAGGGGTCTTGTAAGCACACTGGCCATACAGTCATATGGTCGGGGTACAAGTCTAGATTTCTGCACTCACAGCAGTAAATAATTTAATCTCCAGTTTCTTCTGGTTCCTCTGTATGGAATAAGAATAGCTGTAGCTATTTGATAGGGTCTTTAGAGAGATAAAAATCTAGTATTTCAAAAGTTTACTCCGAAGTATTCAACTCATAGCAAGCATCGTTTGAGTATTTGCTGAATAAATATAAAGGTGAAGAAATCACTATTTTATTATTATTATTATTATTATTATTATTATTATTATTATTACTAAATCTCTGAATACTCCCTCATCATCATTATGGCAACAATGATGGTCCCTCTTCTGAAAGGTTTTATGAGCTAAATGTTAAGAGAGGGAAAATTATATAGTTAAAGACACATAAACATGAGGGATTCAAAGAGATAAGATACATATACCGACGTTTCTTTGCTTTCTTAAAAAAAAGAGCCTGGGAAAAAAAACACTGGCCTGAAACATGTGCTTGTGAATAGAGAAATAAAGCAAGCCTTTAATCTGCATGGCTCACGGAACAGCCCAGCAAGAGCACGCAGAACACCTACCGTGCAGAATTCCAGATAACACACTCTCCTTTTTCGTCCTTCTGTTTTGTTTATAATTCTTTTCTCTCTTAGCCATCGAGCTACCCTGACATTCCCATCAAAGTTGATTTCTTTGCAGACCATTAGCCCTTATTCTTTAAGTCAGCCACATCCACACGCTCAGGTGTATGGCCGCTTGAAGGTGGGCTGGTGTGGCTTTACTCCTCTGAACAGAACTTCCATTAGGAAGATGGCACGAAAGCTAGGTTTACCACGTGTTTCTGCACTTTTGTCTGTCATCTCACTGTTCCTTGCAACTTATCCTATTACCTAACATATTTTTCTGACAACTCTTTGGACAGTTTATAGACCACATACTCATACTTACACTGCATACAAACGTATCCAGTCCTCTTTTGAGGGGTAGGATCCTGTTTACAAACATTTTGATGAGTTATGCTTTTTGACACAAGAAACAAGCACATTGGCAAAGTCTGTTACAGTGGAAACAAAAGACATTGTATGGGAAAGATGAGGTAGAAGGATTTGTACCTGATAATTCAGCTCCTAACTGCCTGCCGTGTGATCAGGATGAGCAGGGTGAGCAGTGTGATCAGGGTGAGCAATGTGATCAGGGTGAACAGTGTGAGCAGTGTGAGCAGGGTGAGCAGAGTGATCAGGGTGAGCAGGGTGAGCAGTGTGAGCAGGGTGAGCAGAGTGAGCAGGGTGAGCAGTGTGAGCAGGGTGAGCAGTGTGAGCAGGGTGAGCAGAATGAGCAGGGTGAGCAGGGTGAGCAGTGTGATTAGGGTGAGCAGAATGAGCAGGGTGAGCAAGGTGAGCAGGGTGAGCAGGGTGAGCAGTGTGATTAGGGTGAGCAGAATGAGCAGGGTGAGCAGGGTGAGCAGTGTGAGCAGCCTGATCAGCCTGAGGTGGAGTGCACTTCTGAATCCTAGGGCTTTGGTGGGGGCACTGCTGTTTTGTGCCGGCTGGCCTTGAACTGTCCGACTGCCTCTAACTCCATAGGGCTAGGATTAAAGGATTAAAGTCACTGGGGCAGTTTTTTTGTTTGTTTGTTTGTTTGTTTTTTAATTGTGCTGTCCCTTGTCTCTGACCAGAAAGCAGCTAGAGCTGGCTTTCGCCTGAAATCACCTAGGGCTGTTCTGAGGGAAAGGGAAGTAGCTCTCATTCTCTGGAGCTGCTGCAGCTCACCCCTTGGAAACACCCTTTGGATGCAGGCTGACTACCACAAAACCTGTGAATGTTTAGAAGGCAGCCAGAAGGATTTAATTTGAGAGAGCCATCCAACAGGCAAGAGGGAGCTCTTTGAGAGTGAGACTGAGAGTTTCTTCAGGTCAGTATGAGGAAGACCACCTGGAGAGAAGAAACTTAAGCTGCCTCCTCTCAGTGCTTCCAAAGGGTCTATATTCTTACCTACTAAAAAGCAAGACAAAACCAAAGAAGGCCACAGCACACCAGTTGCTATAACTGCATTGGCTGGCACAGGGCGCTGATTGGCTGTTGGTCATCTGTATATGCCAGGCAAGACTTTTGACATATGCTCAAAACCAATTTCTTTAAACACCATCTTGGCTTTCTTTGTGATGCAGAGAGGATTCCCGCCTTACAAAATTTTTATGGTGAAAACACAGTAGAGCAGTGACTACAATTTCTTCTTTTAATAAATTAGTACCTACGGGAAGAGACATTTTACACACATACATGGATTGTAAATAAAGGTTTTGTCAATAGTACTTACCTGAATATTTAAGACGCACACTGATGATTTCCTAGACAATGCTCTGTTTCATTCTCTTCTAGTTTTGAAAACTCCTCCGAGGCTCTGGCTATAGCTCAGTGCAGAAGAATATACTTAGTATGCACACAAGACTCTGTGTTCAATGCCCGCTGCCTCCCTTCAATAAAAATTCTAAATGCAATCCACTCTTGATTTGGAATATATTAAAGAGATGGAAGCCACAGCTCGGAAAGCACAAACCTAATTACTTGGCTCAATAAACATCACATTCTCTGTTTCCCTTCTTCTCTTTAACTCTTGAAGAATTTCCTTCCACTGCTTTCTGATGCCCATGTTTTGTGATGAACATTCTATGGTTAGGCACACAGTTGCTCACGCGCGCACGTGTGTGTGTGTGTGTGTGTGTGTGTGTGTGTGTGTGTGTAGTTTGCCCTGGAAGCTTACAATTTTTAGCAATTGACCACTTATTTGACTCCCTGGGTAAGGAGAACAGGTCTGAGCAGAAGGGGTTTAAATATCGGAGGAGACAGTGCCGCCAGGAGAGGAGCTTAAACTTCTACTTAGAATTCCTCTTAGGCCCTGGGCTGACACTAGTTGTTCTTGTGCATGGAAGAATCTGGAGCACCAGCAGAGAGCATGGAGCACCAGCAGAGGGCATGGAGCACCAGCAGAGAGCATGGAGCACCAGCAGAGAGCAAACCCTGGGACATGGAGAACAGCGAACGTGTACGAGGCAGCTCAGTACTGAGAGATGTTGGGTTCAGACCCATCCAGACTGGAAAGATTTTGGTGACTCTTCTGGGCTTTCAATGATGCTCCAGCAAAAGAATAACCTAGGAGGAAGAATCGTACTTGTGAGCAGGGAAAACCCAAACAACCCCATCAACAAAGCTACGCAAACTCAACCAGGAAATTTAATCTCAGAGTAAAAAATGGAAATGTTCACAGCCAGATAGCAGAATCTAGACCTTTTGCAATTTATCGTCTCAGCAGTTTATACCATAAAATTATAAATCATTAGCTTTGGTAAAGAGCAGGAAAAGTGACCAATTTGTTGAAGAGAGATGTGGATATGTCTATAGTTAGTCCTATGTTTGATTAAGAAAAAACATGGCGGAAATTCTCCAAATTTCATAAAAAGTATACTTTACACATCTGAGAAATTCGAGGAATATTAAATAGAGAAGACTTAAGAAAAAGACATCACATTAAAAGTAATGATATTTCAGTAAGTAGACTATCCTAAAAGCAGAAAAATGCATATTATACGCACAGGAAAATGCAGAGAAGTATTATAGCAATCCTTCAGCAGGCCAGTCAAAGGCAATGGAATGACATTCTTAACTGCTGGAAAAAAAATCCATTACATTTCAATATTAAATCAAACTAATATATAATTTCTTTGTCTTATGTATCTGAGTGTTTGCCTACATATTTGTCTGTGTACCAAATGCATTCTGAGTACCCAAAGAGATCAAATAAGGGTGCTAGACTCCCTAGATCTGCAGTAGCAACAGATGGTCCTGAGCTGTCATATGAGTGAACTGAACCTGGGTCCTCTGCAAGAGAAGCCAGTGCTCTTAATGCCTTTAGTGAGGCACAGGAACACTTTGTGGTAAAGGGACATGGTATCAGGTATGTTCTGTTGGAGCTGGAGGCAGGGAGTCAGGTTAACTGGGAAGAATGTTCCCAGAAGAGGAAGATTTGCATCACAGAGGACAGCTGGTGGAATCTCCTTTCTATAGGCAGGGATGAAGTGTTCAGAGTGGCAAAGATGTTAAAGTAAAATTAACAATATCACAAAAGGATGTTTGAACCACACAGAGATGTGACATCATAGCAACAGAAAACTTCACTGAAGGAAGAACATGCATGAGTGTTGATCTGAGATTCTTGCGTCACACATGTGTTGGTCTAACACACTGAAGATTTTTGGAAATGAAGTTTCTTAAGAAATGAAATTACAATTAGTGCCGCCAATCAAAATAACCAGAAACTAGACATAGCGGAGGGCTACAGAGCTCTCCTTCAATTGCAAATATCATGAAAGAAGAGGCAAGACCACATAAGACAAATTGAAAGCGAATAGCAAAATTGAAATCAGAACCTAACACACACACACAATTACACTACATATAAATAGCACCAATGATAGCTATGGACCCAGTCGGACTACCCACTTACCTTTACAAAAAAGTTTTAGTGGTACTGAAAGACCCCAACCTTAGTCTCCATCTTAAGATGTTTTGATCAAACAGGCCAGAGCAAAACAGGATATCTGTGGGCGGCAGAAGCAGTCTTAAGACCAGCTGCACCTGCCTAGAGGATGAAAACAGGATATCTGTGGGCAGCAGAAGCAGTCTTGAGAAAAACACCGAGTCCTTTGTGTATCGAAAACCAAGGGGGCAGAAACTGGCTGAAACTAGCTTAATTTAGACTTGTTTTTGTAGACTTGTTTTTGTCCTGATGTTGATCCACCCCATTTGTTAATTTAATTTGAGTTGACCAATGATGTTGTTGTTGCTATGCTTCCCCATTATGTAACCCTGAGATCCTATAAATACTGGCTGGAAAAATACAAGGGGGGCTCAGTCTCACTGAAGTACTGAGTCGCCAGTTGGCGCCTTTGACCATAAAGAATCCTCTTGCTGTTTGCATCCATTGGCATGGCTTATTGAGTCTGGGGGATCCTTCCTGAACCCTAGAAATTAGGGTCTTTCAGTACTCAGCCATATGTTCATATTGACCTATTGCCTGTAGCTACTTTTGCTCATAATGGCAGATTAATTTCAGCAGAAACTATACAACCCCCAAACTCCAAAAATGACCTCTCTCTCTCTCTCCCCATTCCCCTCTCTCTCTCTCTCTCTCTCTCTCTCTCTCTCTCTCTCTCTCTCT